AATAATAATAATAATAATAATAATAATAACAATAATAATAATAATAATAACAATAATAATAATAATAATAATAATAATAATAATAATAATAATAATAATAATAATAATAATAATAATAATAATAATAATAATAATAATAATAATAATAATAATAATAATAATAATAATAATAATAATAATAATAAAGAAAAAGGTTAGTAAAATATACAAACAATAAAAGAGAAAATTAAAAAAAATTATCAACACAAAAATGATTGCATTAAATGAATTAAAAAGAAAAGATTCTATATTAAAAGTGACTTTTATTTTAATAGTAATTCAATTTAATAACAAATTTTAAATTGAATTATTATTAAAATAAAAATTAGAAACTAAAAATTGAATTATAAATAAATAAAAATCAATATTAACCAAAAATTAATATTTGAAAATTAAAAGGACTATATCTTTGAATTTTTAAATAAAGAAATAAAAAGAAAATCAAATGACCATAAATTCGAATTAGAAACTCTAAATTTGAGATGGACTTGAATCCTTTTTGAAGAATGTCTCGAATTGAAAAGAACCTTAAACTTGAACCATTGCAATTCAACAGACCAGAAACTTCTAAGCCACAAAAAAAATAAACTATAAAGTTTTAATAAAATCCACAGTCTTTTACGCATAATTTGAATTTGATCCTTGAAGCAAACTTGTAGATAATATCCTTTACGATACTATGCAAAACGAATCATCTCAAAATGTTGAAAACTGCAGAAGTTATGATTCTTGAAAGTTAGACAAGAGTCACTTGAAATTAGGTCAAGTTCACAAAATGACCTCTAAAGTATTCAAATATTTGATGACCTCCTACACATAACTAGCACTCGACTTGAAAAGAGAAATTGGAGAGGATGTCAAGGAGATTCATATGTCCAAAGAATCACTCAAAAATATTAAATAATAAAGAAGTTATGAACTTCTTAACTTGAACTATGAAATGTTGTTTTTTTAGGTCAAACTGCTTTGAACCAACTCACAAACTTGATCTTTCTTTGCATTCCAAGACATGTTGATGTACATTTTAATTCAGAAATCCTAGCTGAGGAGACTCGCTTTAGATCCTTGATTCAATCTCCACCGTGCACAAGAACAAAAAAGGATATAAAGCAAATATTTTTGATATTTTGATTAGTGGTTAGTGGAATGTAAAACATATAAACACATAGGTAAAAGATGCATGATGCAAAATGACATATGATCTTAGGAGTAAAAATTAGGGTATGACAACGCGCTTGACAAGCTAGAAATAAAGTATGGTTTGTGCCGTCAGGTCAGACACAACTGAAAAATTATCCCTCTCGTGCTACTAGTTCGACAACATAAATATTGTATGCACACTATTTGCACTTTTTTAAGATCTAAACAAGACTTTTTTTCATAAAGAACATTTGTTACAACAAATCATACGCGAACAACAAATAAAATGACATCACGACTAAAACAACATCACACACGCCATATAAAAATAACAACATATCTAAGAAATTACAATCGTCAAAACAATTTCATCAGATCCATGCATCATCACCATTACGTCTCTGTCTGTTTTGACTTCCTCCAACCAACTGTGATGTTTTTCAGTTGCAAGTGAGGTGGTCGTTCTTCTTCTCTAGATTCTTCTAATTTATTTGTCATCTTTGATGTCCCCGTCTAACCATCGGATCAATATTCTCTTAAGATGCTCCATGAAATGGATGTGCCAAAATTTCATTTTAATCGACGGCTTAATGGCCGAGAAAGAAACATGTCTATCTCTTGTGAAAATCATGAGAGATGTCACAATGAAAAAATTAGAGAGAAAATAAGAAGAGAAAGTGAGAATATATATATATATATATATAATCCATTAAAAATAGATTTTAATTTCAATTGTTTATTTGAAGGATTTGGAGAGACAACATATACTTAACAGATACTTATGAGATATTTAAATTGTGTGGAGAGAAAGGAGGAATTCATGTCTATTAGTATTTATTCACATATAATGTTAATTTTCTTTTAAAATGTATCCAATTAAACAATATTTATTAAAAACAGTTTTAAATTAACCTAAAATAGTAACATCATATATTTGTCTGATCGGAAATGTGTAAAAAGGAAATTTTGAAATATTAATTTCATATAGACATACTAAAATGTATTTAATTTATCTATTTTATTTATACATCTTTTAATCCGTATAAATTGATTTTTTTTTTTTTATAAGAGAGAGTGTTTAAGCCTGAAGAAAAGAACTACAACGCATTAATACTCTTTAAAATGGAGTTTCCTCTAATATTTGAATTCATTAAATGCCTTATAAAATAAAAATAAAAATTTCTCTAAAAACCATAGACTCCCCACTAGTAACACCATATTTAACTAAGACATCTACGTAAAGGTTGGTCTCTCTAAAGATGTCACTTATTCAAAAGCCTCCGATCTCTTCAAAATTTGTTTCACTAGAGAGACACTACAAATATTTTTTTGTTATCTCGGTCTTCCAAATGGTTAATATTTAATACTAAAACTATGTTTACATTTTTTCTAGAAAGGGAACTTTTTAATGCATCTTATATTTTTTTTAAATATCACGTAAAATTTTAAAAATATTTTTAAAAATTAGAAATATTTTTCTAATACACACCTCCACACATATATAATTCATTTGATTTTAAGATTTATTTCATTTTATAATAAAATTGATTACGAAAATTCACTTCTAATATAAACAGAAAATATTTCTAAGAAGGTACCTTTGTCATCAGGATCTCTGTATTAAATTTTGGTCAAAATAATATCACGTGTCCATAGAAAAAAAATTAAGTATAATAAACATGACGTCAGTGCACTATCTTCCTCTCTCTCCATTGCAAACTCATCTTCTTCCTACCTCCCCAGTCTCGTTCAAGCCACCTACAACCAAAACTTCTGCTACCTACTGATATTTACTTAGATCAATGGATTAGAATAGTGATGGTAAAACTTAAAAGAACTGAAAAATAAGAGGTGGTGTTAAAGATAACTTGTGTGGTTGAATCATGACAAGAAGGCGATACAGTATAGATTGTGTACTTTATTTATTAGGAATTGAAAATATAATTTTAGTGTATACCGGAAGTACATTTTGATTTTCTGTATACATTTCTAAAAAATATTTTTTAGCTTTTATAAGATGTTATTTCCTTTATATAAAATGTCATAAGAAATTTTCTTTTAGAAATGCATCTTTCAGAATATGCACATTGTAATATCATATTAAATTTTTATGGTTGCTGGTACAAATTTATATTCTACAAGTTCATGATTTGTACGGTGTACGAATTTCATCTTAAAAATAATAATTTGTATTCTACTATTTTTAATGGTAAATAAAATAACGATTCCATAAAACATTTTCCACTGTATTTTTGTTTGGTATGCATGTGATGAAATTTAGAGAGATGGTTTAACATCATTATAAACTAGTCAGTTAATCTATTGTGTTGATTCCACTCTATTCTATTGGATATCACCAATCCAAGTGTACATAAAAGACATACAATTTAGGGTCTGTTTAAGATTTTAAAACTGCATGGAAATAAAGATAGCATCAAAATAACTATCTCATTCAAAAAAAAAATAATTGAAAAAATAGGGCAACAAAACGACTCGAGTAGAATCCACCGATTTTGGTTGTGATTTACAATTTTCCGATCTTACTATCATATTTTGATTCAAAGTAAACTCTTGATTCTGACAACCTTGCACGTAACAGTTCACAGCAAATCCTAATAAACTCATTTTCTCAGTATATGCAAGTGAAGAGAAGAAAAGAAGGTAATACGCATTTTCTGATGTTTAAACAAAACACAAACAAAACGGAGAGAAAGTAAAATTAATGTTGTCATACAACATATCCTCAATGTCTGAACAAAATTAAACTTCAAAATTGCAAGAACAAAGCTAAAACACATCAATCTTCGTCGTCAATAACCTTAGTACCCAAACCTTTGAGCTCCTCCTTGGGGATTTCAACAACAGTAACAAGAGAGTAGAGCTCTTCCTTAGCATCCTCATCATCATTTCTCTTGCGAGCAATTCGTACCCTGACTCTTCTTGGGACACTTCTAATTCCCTGGCTCCATATAGCCTTGTTCAACTTGACGTCAACACGGACATCATTGGTTCCCATTGCTTTTTGGGCAAACTTCCTTATCTCCTTGATGGCTTTAGGAGCTTTCTTCTTGAATGTGCTGTTTTGCATGATAAAGATATCAATTACTACTAGAAGTTAATACAAATAAACAATACAAACCAGACAACATCGTAAAGTCAAGAGACCAAAATAAACAATATCGCAAATAATGCAATGAAAGTCAAGAGACCAAAATAAACAATAACACAAATAATGCAGAGTGTCGTCAATGGTGAAGAGCAAAAACCCCTCCATATTCGTTATAGTGGATTATGCCGAAAAAACCCATGATATCGGCCGATATTTTATCATTGCCGCAAACCAAAAACCGAGTATACCGGCTATTCGGTAACACTGGTTGCAATATGGGATGTGAATACAATTTCAACCACAAAAATAGGAAATTACATCAATTCATACACCACACAGGAATAGGTCCTCCACTTAAAACACAGTTTTGTATATCAAGATTCTACTGTTTTATGGCAATATTAAATTGACAAGATTACACAAACCAATAGTTAAAATTAAGCATTATCTCATACAACTAACCAATATAATTTATGGATCATTAAAATGCAGAGCACATGGTTAAGTTTCATCCTTATCTAATTGAAAACAAACATTAATTTGCTAAAAGGGGGTCAAAATCAACAGTATAAAAGTGTTGTGATAAACCCTAAAAAATTAGGGAACAAGCGAGTGTGAAGAATTACCATCCATGGAGGCGTTTATGGAGGTTAATGGTGTACTCTCTGGTAACCACCTCTTCCTTCCTACCGGCGCCGGTCTTCTCCACCATTTTCACTTACGACGCAGGGAGCGATCCAGATACGGCGAAGGTTCGGAGTGAGGCTGACACGAAACAAACGAATGAGATGGAAAATTAGGTTAAATATAAAACCGTGAAACCCTAGTTTCTAATGGGCCTAGGGGCTCGACTCGACCAAGTGTTTTTTGAGAGGCCTCATTTTTCTTTTTCTTTTTCTCTAGTGTTCTCTTTTTATTTTACTCAAAATGTTTTCTTAATAATAAAGTGGTTTTTCTTTCCTATCAATAATAATAATAATAGAATTTAATAGTAGTGGTGTAAAGAAGTATAACACATTCATCTTTTCATAATATTTGAAAATAATATAAATAATTTAAAATTTATCATCCGACCAAGAGAGATATATGGTTGTCATTGGTTGACTTACAGAATTAATGCATCATTCTTTTTCTCATAAGACTATTTATAATGGGAGTGTTAATAAATTTTTCAATAGTTGAATTGTTCCAATGGATTGTTGAATAAGGTGTTGAATGTGACATGTATTAATTTGTGTTGAAAACATTCAACATATTAAATGAGAAATGAGTGGGGACCACTTATAATATTTTACAAGATATAATTGGTTGTTGTGATTGTTTATATGTTTATCTCACATAAATTATTTGGAGTCAATTATTTTATAGAAAATCAATTTTTTATTTATTTTTATTTTCACCAAAATTCATCATTTTTTTTGTCTATAAATAGAGCCTTGGTTCATTTGATTTTGACAAAAAAAAATCTATTTTTTCTCTCTAATTTTTCTATTTAGCCTCCAATAAATTATGGACAAACCAAAGACTAATAGAAGACTACTTTGCAGACCAACCTACATATGACGATACAATGTTTCGTCGGCGATTCCGGATGCGAAAACATGTGTTCCTTAGGATCGTTGGGGAACTATCTAGCAATGACAACTACTTCACCCAAAAAGTTGACGCAACCAAAAAAGAAGGTATATCTCCATTAACAAAATGTACCACGGCCATGCGAATGTTAGCATATGGTGTGGCGGCCGATGCAGTCGATGAATACATTAAAATAGGAGGTACAACAGCATTAAAGTGCTTGCGTAGATTCTGTAAAGGAATCATAGAATTGTATGAGCCAGTGTATCTCAGAGCCCCAACTCAAGATGACCTGCAAAGAATACTACATGTTAGTGAAATGTGGGGGTTCCCGGGGATGATTGGGAGTATTGATTGCATGCACTGGGAATGGAAAAATTGTCCTACAACATGAGAAGGTCAATTTACTCGGGGAGATAAGGGAACCATCACTGTTATTCTTGAAGCAGATGCAACTTATGATCTATGGATTTGGCATGCCTTTTTTGGATGTCCAGACACATTGAACGATATAAACGTTCTAGACCGTTCACCCGTGTTTGATGATGTTGAACAGGGAAAAACTCCAAGAGTGAACTTCTTTGTGAATCAACGTTCGTATAATATAACATATTATCTTGCTGACGGTATCTACCCTTCTTATCTGACTTTCGTCAAATCAATTAGACTTCCTCAAAGTGAACAAAATAAGTTATTTGCAAAATATCAGGAGGGATGTCGGAAGTACATCGAACATGCATTTGGGGTGTTGCAGGCTCGATTTAAAATCATTTGCAAACAAACCCATTTGTGGGACATAGCCGATTTGGCTCTCATCATGAGGTCATATATCATATTGCATAATATGATTGTTGAGGATGAACGAGATACATATTCTCAATATTGGACAGATTATGATCAATCTGAGGTAAGTGGGTCTGGTACACCGGAGTCATTCTCGACTGAGATGCTACCTGCATTTGCAAATCATGTGCGTGTTAGATCTGTGATGCGTGATTCAAATGTACATCACGAATTGCAAGCAAATCTAGTCGAACATATATGGGTAAAGTTTGGAATGTTTTGTGATTAAATAGATTGTTTGTGAGTTGAGTCTATTGTACTAATTAAGTTATGTGTGTTTCATTTTAAGCGTGTTGTGTGTTGTGTGTTGTGTGTATTGTATTGCATTTTAAGTTTTTTGTAATTACGAATATAAAATTAGAGGAAAAAAATTAAAATAAAATTTTAAATTAAAAAATAATAATAATAAATTATTTAACTCTTAATTATTTTAATTTAATTTCAATTGATAATTATTATTATATAATAAAAAAAACAAAAACATAAAAAAGAAAATAAAAATATGAAATAAAAGTGGTGGGATAAGGTGTTGAATTTTATTAAACAAAACCATTGTAATGAGTAAAAGTTGAATGGGTATTGAATTATTAGGTGGAAGAGAGAGAAGATGATATGGGGTGTAAAAATGGGAAAAATGGGTGTTGAATAATTTTGTCATTGTACATAGTCTAATAATAATAGTAGTGTGTATTTTCGTGCTAAACACGGAGTAAAATTTCGAATGTTAAAAAAAAATTAAATGATTTATATCTTAAAAAATATATTATTTTTCATTAATTGTCTATGTAAATTATTTTTCATTTTCTTAAAAGTAAAATAAAAAATAATTATTTTGTATTTGGTTTTTGGATTTATTGAAATATATTAATTAACAATTAAAATGTATTTATTTTACATTTATTTATCCATTGACATCTAAAATGAAAATTACAGTATTATTAGAAAAGGGATGAAATTACTAATACGATAACTCTCTTTGTATAATAGGTTGAAGAAGGAAATTATTAATAACTATTAATGAAATCATTCATTAACTTTTATGTATAAAATTGATCGTACCTCACTAGAATGGACCGTCACAGCTTACTTCGAGTAGAACTTGAGAGTGAGGTGGAGGATACCTGCAAGATACTCTGATGTCAAAATGAGATGCGGAATGAGCTAGCAAGCAAGAGAGTAAGAAAATGTTCAATATATGACCCTCTCGAAAGAGAGGGTATTTATAGCCCCCAGCGCTGGGCCAAGGTCTCCTTATTGGGCTGGTCAAACAGGCCCAGAATGGAGACTGCCAGGTTCTACATGAGTAGTGGGGATCTGCATGTGGTCCCCCACCTGGATGACTTCCTCCACAAGATCAGAAGGATATAGATGTGGTCTTTCTGGGGCCACGAAGACTCCGCGATATTCTGAGACATTGACAGTCAACCCTACGAGGAGGATGCTCGTGAGGTGCTTCTGCTCGTCGTGGATGCTCCCCACCAGACACGAGGTCATGTGAGGGGATCAGTCTTAGTCGGGGAGAGGATCGGAGGGTGACCTCGAGGTCCTTCTGACCGGCGATGATCTTCCTAATACTGACTGGGTTTATCCTCGTGCGGTGAGGTTGTCTCCTCGCTGGGAGTGGGAGTTGTTGCCCGATGATCTCGAGGGCATAACTGGTCAGTATACTTTAACCGCATAATTGGATTGGGCCTCTAGTGGATTTGGGCCAAGGGCAGGCCCAATCCAGAACAGGAGCCCCCAAAGTCGTTGCTCCTGATGAAGGAGTTATGACTTAAGTCCAACTTTTTCTTTTACGAGGTGTGTTGCTCGACGAGGATATTTTATTGTGTTGACGGAGAAAGTCGTCGATTCAGGGGTTTACCCGAGTAGCATTCATAAAGGACTCGAGATGGGACCATTCTAGTCGCGGGGAGGGGAAACCATGTGGGGTGTAGGCACGTGGCGTGATCTTTGGGATTGCAATGATGGCCTATGGAGTAGGGGTAATCATTAGCTGAGCGTGTAGGTGTTAGGGAGAAAGGTGGTTGTTGAGTTGCCCGACACGATGTTTCGCATTCCACGTCAGCTCTATATATAGTGCCTCAAGGCCCATTATTTACATTTACATTCTCGCGCTCTCCACTCTTCCTATCGCCAGCTCCGTGTCGTTTCCTTCCACCGTCATAGAATCCGTCGTGCGTTCTTATTCAACCTTCGTTGTTCTTCATCTGTTTTGTCCAAGTAAGTACTTTTTCGTGATACTCTTTGTTTTGATGATGTTTTAGTTGTAGAATTTCACGACTGGGGGGTTTTGCTCGGGGAATTCATGTATTTATGCATAATTTTTGTGATTGAGCCCGTGATATTCATCGTTTCCCCGACACTTAGATGAGTTTACCCCGTAGTCTTCATATATCCCTGCAAAATTCATGGATTTTGCGCAAGAAGTTTGTGTTATCCCCAGTGAATTCATGAGTCTGGCCGGCAAATTCGTACTTTGCTTGCTGCATTCTTCCTGTGCTCGGGGTATTCATGAAAATGAGTGTTCGTTGTTATAACCGTTGTGTGGTTTTGTAAGGCTGACATGATTTTCGTGCCCCGATCGAGGGCCGAGTATTACCCCTTCTGCACGAGGGACTGTCGACTTGGTTTGGGTGCCGCCTAACCTTTTTACCTGCGTCACGGAAGGATGGATTTGGATTTGCTGTCGAATTTACAGGTTTCCTCTACTTTACAAGTAAAATGGTTGATACTCCTGAATCGTTCGAGCACGTGGCGTCGAAGAGGCCAGTGTAGCCGAGGAGGGTGTCAACTTGGTTGACACAGTTGACGATCCCACCTTGGCTTGGGTCGGGGAGGAGCCTCGAGGGATAGCCTCGATATATAATTATAGTAGGAGGCAGGCTTACACTATCGTCGAGCATGGCGACAATCAGGAAGGCTTCCAAAGGAACTTCGCGATCTTGCGACCAACGCTCGATGCTCGGATATGCTTGGAGTTCGAGGAAGACCGCTTCCCTATGTACAAGGTCATTTTCAGAGATTTAGGGCTTCGCCTCCCCTTCAACGATTTCCAGATGGGGGTGCTCAATCACTTGAACTTAGCACCTTCCCAGCTTCACCCGAACGCCATTGCCTTCATCTGGGCATTCAAGATTACTTGCCGGTTCCTGAGGATCAGGGCGACCGTTCCCTTGTTCTTTAGGGTTTTCATCTACAACGGCAGTCCCAGGGAGGGAAACACAGTTGGGTCTCCCTCAAACAGACGAATAGGCTATTCAAGATGTACATGGACTTCGTCTGACTTTAAGG